GAAGAAAGATAGGGAGGGACAGGAGAGAGGGGAAGATGAGGTGTACAAGGAGGAGTGGTAAGGGGAGAGAGGAGAAGGAGAAAGGAAGGGGAAGTAGAGTAGAAAATGATGGAGGGAGGAAAGGATGGAGAAAGGGGATGGAGAGAGGGGGAAGAAAGTGTCGTATAAGGTATAAATATGGTGTATGGAGAGCAGAAGAGCCAATAACTGTTTTTTTTTCCTTCTTTGGTAGTTGATGGTAAGATGAATTGATGTAATTACTTAATAATACAACATGATATTGACTATGTAATAGTATACATGTGATTATATGCTATGAAAAATGGAAAATAAAAAAATTTCTATCGCAATTATACTTGTTTAAAGTAATTTGTAGCATTATATCGATCAGGGTCAAAGCATGCTAAAATACAAGTTTGCTCCTTTCCAGCTAAGAATTTCTGATAATATATTTAAGGGCTACCAGTTGTTGACTATTCTTATGTCATCCATCAATTATGAATGGGACTGTTCTTCTATTCTCATTTTTCATTTCAATTTTACCTGCCAAAAGATTATTCCTGTCCATTCTTTCCGCTTCAAAACAAATTGTTCCAGAGTTCATTCTAGATACGTATGTACTCTATTTTGGAATTCTCGATATGATGTTTTGAATGCAACAGTTTGGCCCCCTGCTGCCATTAACCTCCTTAACCTTAAACTCTATGAAATATGCCTAGAATAAAAACTCACATATACCTTTTCCTCTCATGGAAAAGAAAATGATTGGAAGGGTGGGAAAAGGAGAAAACAATGAGCAACCACTGGTTTTCTAATGCCATTAGAATTCATAGACAATTTTTTCAATTGTCAATGTTTCACCATCCTGACAAAAATATTTTACTTTGACTACCATAACTGATGCTATAACTGATACTAGTGATAGTGAACCTATGGCACGTGTGCGTCTCTGTGGGCATGCGAGCCATCCACCATGTATGAGCATGCTCCTCCCACTGGCCAGCTGATTTTGGGTCTCTGCTGTGCATGCGGGAGATGTATGCACCTGTGTGTGTGAGGGGGCACACACATGTGGGGTGGGGGTCATGCACACATGTGTGCTGGGGGCAGGGTTTGTGCATGCATGCATGGGGAATGGGGAGAGCACGGGGAGGTGCGGCATGCCCTCCCGTGGCCCGTTTTTGCTGGGCCCAAAACAGGATGGGGGGAGGTTTGCATGCATGCATGTGGGGGCAGGGCGAGCATGGGGGGGTGCTTTGCATGCATGCATGCACAGGGGGCAGGGGGCGTGTGTGTGTGTCACCCACACATTGCATTATGGGTGTGGGCACGTGCCCACGCTTTCAGCACACAAGGAGAAAAAGGTTAGCCATCACTGATATATAGCGTCGGTTATTGTCTTCACATCAAATGTTGCCACCTAATTAGCTGATCTTAGCTGATCCTGAAAAGATTAAACTGGGTCAGTCCTAGTTAACATTTGGTACTCGGTAAGTCGCAGCGAGTAAGCTAGTTTAGGAAATTTTTAAAAAATCCTAGAATAAAGCAATTGAAAATCATTCTGTACTTTTATTAATGACAATCCATGTTCCAATAGAGTGCTATGCTGTATCATTATACACTTATATATTATTGTATATGTGAATCTTTTTTCCAGATACAAAGGGAGAAAAATAGAGAATATCTGTTTAAAATATACATCTTGGGCATATGTGGATTTATTTTTCTTTTCCAATATCTCTTGTAAATGTACATTTGTTTTAGGTGGCAGTATCCTAAAGGAACCCACATTGCTACCGAAAGCAGCTTTTTCATATTTGCCTTGCTGAAATCCTTTCTAACTTATTAAAAATAAGGTGTTATTCTGGCATCCTGGTCACCTCCTGCTGATCCTTATCCAGATCAAAACGAGAGCATTTGGTACTTGAAAAATAATAATGATGACAAATACAAATCCCCAGATATAATCCCATTGACTTTTATGAATATTAGTTTTCGAGCCAAAAGTTATCTCGCTGATCCTGCTAAGATGAGAATGGTCATAATATGCTCCTTGTGTTTTTCTCTAGGCAATCAAAGGATTTGACAGGAAAGAAAGGGTAACTTTGTAGGCGCAAGGTAATAAAGAATTGGCTTTGTCTTTTCCTACAGATGATTCCTTAACAAGGTACGGCAGATCTTGGCTACATGAAAACCTATCATTTCATATGGAGTCCTCTTAAATTTTCATCATTCCATTACTCTCATCAGCTGTGTGCTCCTAACAACAATGCCTGATCAGCCTAGTTCTCTGCTAAGTGGCAAAGTAATTTACTTTAAAATTACTTGAAAGGGATGCCGAGATGACATCTTGATTGGCTGACAGAACTTCAATTTCTTCTAGAAGAGAATTATCACCTTTGTCCACTGGGAAGTCCTGAGTCTACAACCTGTGCCTTATGGAATGAGGCCTATGAAAGGAGCATTCATTGAATAATAATTCATTTTGACTGCCAGGAGGGTACAAATCCTTCTTTTCAGCTTTGAAAGATGACCAAGGATAAAAGGACTCATTCTGTATCTTTCCATAAAACTGCAAGAGAATGATTCTCTGCTCAAAAGATAGATAGGAATCTAAAAACCTGAATACTTAGCAGTAGATCACCAAGGTTTCCTTGCATTTCTGTTAACAAACAACAGTGAAGAGGATTTTTTTTCTTTTGGCCTAAAATAAAAAATAGAATTATACTTGTAGCTGGGGTATATCATGCATGAATAGTGACTGAGGAATGTCTTGGAGCTAATGTTGTGAATTAGGCTGGGAGAATTAGCAATGGAAACTTGTGGGTGTTGGTTCTGATCATCTTTGATGCAGGTATTGCATTAGGTAGCACCAATCTCAGCTTTTGTCACTGGATTACATGTGGTTTTAGCTCAATATTTTGTGATTCCAACACTGGTTAAGATTTTGGGGTTTTTATGTTCTTTTATTCTCTTTTGGAGTTGTGGTTAAAAAAAGCAATTTGATAAAACTGGAACTATGCCACCTACGGTCTGACCTAAGTATAGTACACAAAATTGTCTGCTACAAGGTCCTACCTGTCAACGGTTCCACCACAAAACCGCATTCGACTAAAGGGCGCTCGACGAAACCACGTAGCTGACGTCATCACAGCGCGACAACAGCGCGGAGAAAAAAGCACGCTGTAAAAACTAAACCTAAAATTAACCCCTAAACCTAAACCTAACCCTTAACCTAACCCTTAATCTAACCCTAAACCTAACCCTAACCCTTAACCTAACCCTT